AGTTCTGCAAGATGCAAATATATAACGTAATGTTTTTCAAGGGTTTTTCCATATATGCACGGTAGCTCCAGTTCCAGTAGAGCTATTTGATACTATAAAACAACATTGTAAAAATTTAACTTATTAAGATTATTAAGATTAGTTCATTGTCTTTACAAATGTGCGGTTTATGCTGCACCTCAATTTTATATTCAAAATCATATTATGAAACTAAGAGAGAAAAACTAATATAAGTAAAACTGATTTATAAAACTATAAGCATTTAAAACGTAATATTATTAATAATATAGTCATTGTTATTGAAAAATTATGCAATATGCAAAAGAAGATCATAAGAATTTTATTTTGCATATAGAAATAAGCCACAAACATATGAATTATAAGTTGTTTAATTCTTCTTCAATTAGCTAAATAGAATGAATTTATTAGTATTAATAAAATGCAATAGTTAGTTTCTGAAAAATAAGAGGGTATCACTTTAGAAGACCTGCATCAATCGGCGACTTTCCTCTAAATCCGACTAAAATTAGTAGAGTGAAGATAATCGTTAAAAAAAATGTGACTTGTATTTCAAAAATTTAAATTCTTTCTTAAGAATGGCACCTGAATGGAATAATCCGCGTCATCTATACAATACTGAGTGCGAAGAGCTCAAAAATAATTTTAACTTCAAAAATTCATTCTACTTAATTATTGCTTCTTTTATGCAACGAGGTTCAAACATATTACTCAAGTAAGCTTTAATATGATATCATTACATTATAATTAACAAATATATAAATATATATTTTTTTTAATATTGAAGAAATTATTTTTTTAACCAAAAATTAAATATTTTAAATTATTATAATATTTTCACATAATAAATAAAATCACTTTCACTATAGAACATCATCCCTGCGCATGCTTGCGAGCATATGGTGGTTCTTTACTTTGATCATGTACAGCTTATATACAGCAAATCTAGCCGCTTTTCTCACTGTGGACAAAATAGGCATACCTGTTAAAGGAATTGAGGACTTGGCCAGACAGACAAAAATTAAATATGGTATACTAAAGGGTGGCGCAACAGCATCATTCTTCCAAGTACATTAGAAGTTTATTTATGATCATATTTAGCTCAATACGAAAATAACTTACATATATGATTCGATATTATTCAATTATAGAATTCGAATTATTCAACGTACAAACAAATGTGGGATACAATGGTTAATTCTAAGTCAAGTGTATTCACATCAAGTTATAAGGAAGGTGCGTAATTCTAAAATTGAGCATGCACCTCTTTATAAGTAAGATACATGTAAAAAATACATGAAAAACTTTCTTTCTTCAAAAAGAATTACATTATTCGAAAAAACAAATTTTTTCTTTTAAATTTCTATTTTTCAAATACATTAATTTTCTGTTACAATACATTCCAGGCATCGACCGAGTTATCCACGGCAAACGAAAATATGCCTTTATCATGGAAAGTGGCAGTAGTGAATATCATATAGACCGCAAATGTAACTTAATTAAAATAGGCAGCATGATCGAAAGCAGAGAGTACGGCATTGCTATGCCACGCAGTAATATTATAACTTCACTACAATATTTTTCCATTTCTTTATTTTTATATAAACCATTTTTCTTGTATCTCTTCTGCAGATTCTCCATACAGAACACATATTAACCATGCAATCCTAAAGCTTAGAGAGAGAGGTTTACTGCACAAACTCAAAATAAAGTGGTGGCAAGAAAGAGGAGGAGGTTTGTGCAAAAAAGATGAAATTAATGCAAACACATATGAATTAGGGATGGCAGGCCTCGGAGGTGTATTCTTCGTTCTAATATGTGGTTGCAGTGCTTCATTCTTTATCGCAATTTGCGAATTTCTGTGGAATATACCCAAAGTCGCTGTAACAGAGAAAGTAAATCTCCACTTTATCGTATTCATTAATTTTGGGATAAATATTATAAATAAAGTAAATTATGTCCTAATATATCTCATTCGTATGGATCCGAATATATAAAACTATTGTAGTTGTTCAAATATGAGTAATTTGCTCTCGATTAAGACTTGGGCATAAAATGTAACTCAGAGAAATTATATGAGAAAAAAATTCATTATTATGACTAACATAGGTCCTTCATTGCGGCCAGTGAGAGTCCATCGAGAGAGACGCGGCTGAATCCTCTACCAATCTAGAGTTTCTCGAGAGCGATCTAATCCCCTGAGCCCCATTTTGAAAACTTAGATTATGATCGGCATAGGAACTTACCTGAAGTGAAGTTCAATCTTAATTATGCCCCTTGTCTCATCCGGATGAATCCTTCCTCCCTTGTCTTTTCAAGCATTCCCTCCCTAATAATAGTAATTTGCCGCCATTTTGAACTGATGAGGCTGATGGCGCGCGCAGTGGGAGCCGTAGGGAAAACGGGGTAGACGCATCACTTTTAGTTTTGGCGGTATTTTTTGAATCTCTCTATTATCTGGGCACATGCAAGAGCATGACTACATAGTTCTATATATTCGGATCCATCCGGACGAGACAAGGGGCATAATTAGGATCGAACTTCACTTCAGGTAAATTCGTCCAATCTAACAATTAATTTTTTTTCCTTTTAACGAAAAAAAGAAAAGCATTCAAAAACTTAATGTTCAATATAAAATTCTTTCTTTTTATTTAAATTAAATTGTGAAACAAATTAAAGTGTGAAACAATTTAATTTATATAAAAAGAAAGAAATTAAATTGTGAAACAAAATCCACAATACGCGAATTTTAACTATATTATATGCCAATTAAATTTAATAAGTTAGTTACTACATCGCCATTATTGCGATATATTATGAAGAGGAACTTAATTATATATATGTTTTACAGATTACGCTGTGGGAAGCGCTAGTTGCCGAGTTGAAATTCACCGTGAATATCTTCGCAATTACAAAACCCGTTAAAATTGTCAAGAGGAGCAACAGAAACATAAATTCTAGAGAGATGTGGATTTAACAGAGCTGCATCTGCGGCTTAATTTATCTCAATATTTATTTTTTCTTATATATTGATAAATTCGATAAAAACCATAACAACATAGAAACAAATGTGTGTGTGTGATGATCATAAAATTAATTAATTATTGTCAAGAGAATTCAGTTTAACCACAAATTTTGTTTGTCAATGTACAGTGTAATGTACAGTGTAATAACTTTAATATTACACTGTAGTTTCAATTTGAAAAAGAATTGTTTATTGTCTATGTACGTACACTGTTCTGTTTATCGTACAGTTTCTCAGTTACTTATTGTTATCACTTATTGTTAATATTATTTCGAATGCGCCTAGGAGTTGTCACCCTAAATCACCTGTTTGACTTTCGCGCATATGTCTGGGGGCTAAAGCCCTGGTTCATGATAACCTCGCGACGATATCTAGGAGAAAATCCTGAGTCGCGAGGGTAATATTATACTTGCGGACACTAAGATCGGATTGACTGAAATGACTTCAGCACTTCAAAATGTATCGTGCTCGATCAACGGAGTTACTACTTCTTCGCGTTCTTTCAAAAACTCTCTTCTCCAAATTTCGTGTGAGTCGATCCTCTTCGTATTCGTCTATGATTGGTAGATTTCGATCAATCAGAAGACAAACAACTCGCGACAAACACGGCAAAAGAATCACAGGCGCCGTGATTCGCTTGATCTTCACCGCGGTGATGTCACGTTTGTCCATTACGCTAGCCGCTGAGATAATTATCATTAAATCACAGCATCAAAGTCCGAGCTTACGTCCGCGAAGCATATGAATTATTTGTCATCGAAAATCCGATGATATATGAAGATTTAAGAGTAAGTAAGTAATTCTAACTCTAAGTAATTTTTAATGTCCGTTTGGCGGAAATCGCATGGTCGTGCACGACGATATATATTGTAATAATCTCGTACTACTCAACACATTTTTTTTAATAATAATAATTTTTTAATAATTTTTTAATAAAAAGGACACCTATGTTGAAAGATACTAATTCATTAAATAAATATTCATATATACCTAAATAATTAGATAATGTGTATTAAGCACGGGTCGATGTATTCACTAAGCCAAATGATTAAGTAAGTCTTATATCTGTGAGTATATCTCTCCTCTGTCATATTATTTTGAAATGTTAATAATCCATCTTATACAATAATTAAAATAAATACAGTTCGCCAATAAGCAAAAATCGGATTTGTTTCAATTGTAGATATTCAGACTTCAACCGAGTTGATCTAGATATCCTTATTGAAAAAAAAGCATCCAAGCTTAAAATTTAACAAAAATAATTTTATGACATTAATTTTTATTTCTATAAATAAAGCATGATATAGATTAGAAGTATTCTGTATTATTAGCATGTATTTAAATAAAATTTTTTTTAGTAGATAAAGAGAACTTGATGTATTTTAAAGCGTTTCTGTAAGCATGAATCCAAATAAAAAAAAAATTTTAATAAAATAATAATTTAAATAAAATAAGTTAGAAAATACAGTCGAGGTAAGATTTTAGAAATGCCTAATAGTATTTTTAAATGTAAATTCTAAATACATTTTTCATTTATGTAAACTGCGCGTAATTTACTGTTGGATTTAAAATAATTATAAACTGAAACTAAAACAATAATATTATAACTGAATTACGCTGTAGATTCGATGTAGATAATGATAATGCCAGTAGCATCATTAGGCACTTAATAATTGTTAAAATTTAAAAAAGCTAAAAAAATGAAAAATTAACATTCAAAAGAGAAAGAAACAGGAATTACCTACATACGATAAAAAAATTTGGAATCAATCCATCTTATATACTTTTAGCTCTTATACGTTAATTACTTTGAATATTGCAGTACACGAAGCTTGACGTGCTAATGCACACGCATATTTGACTGACGCATATCGTACTGTATTATTTATGTCTTAATTAACACGCGCAAATATTTCATAGAATAAATTCATCTTTGTTTTACATTTTATTTATTAAAATGTATTCACGACAGTGTCTATTTTCGATTGCATTAGTTTTATTAGTAACAACACGTATCCATGGCCAAATGCGACCAATAAAAATCGGTAAGGAACGATCATTTTTAAAAAATTAATATATTTTAGAAAATGTATCGCTCATGTATGAAAATATTGCCTATTGTTCAAAAGAATTATTTAACAACAGAATTGGTGAAGACTGAAATTTCTACGATAATTTCTACTCTATTGATATTACGTAAAAGTAAAAAATATTTTAAACCAAATCAGTATTTGCGAAGACTTCTTTCATTTACACTATGAGAAATTGTTTATAACAAATATTTGTCACAACATTACACAATTTTAAGTTTCATTTATTCCTCGAATTTTTATTTTCATATGATTAAAAATCCGTATAATTACAGTAACTTCAAGCAAAGACAATATATATTAATTATTATATATATTAATATATATTAACGTAAATCAATATATATTAATTTAAATTGCAATAGACTTTTGAATACCAGTTCAGAAAATTTCGAAACGAATACCAATTAGAATTAATATGATATTTAGCGATTGTCACATACATATTAAATTTAAATTTAACAGCTATATAAATTATTAAGTGTCTTCTTTTTTATGACAAATTATGTCATTACGCTATTAAAAATGTTATGTAATAATGCTACATCGATTCATAATTAAAACAAAATGGAAAAAGTATGTTCACCATAAAATATATCAATACAAATAATCAATATAAATAAATCAATATAAAATATATCAAAATACATTAATATAAAGGAAGGAAAAAAAAATATTTATAATAAAATAATTTTAAATTACAGTTCATTAATAACGAATTTTGCAGGTGATAATATCAGAATATTCACAAAGTCGCAAGAGAAATATTTTTAACGATGTTCGCATGCGCTTGTTACTTAATATTGATCCGATACGCGTAAATTGTAAATATATACATAGTCTACTAGTATTATTAGCTATTATTAAAGTAAATACACGTAATAATTATTTACAGACATAATTAAAAAATTAATTGTGATAATACACAAAATTTTTTACTTCAAATAATAATCATCACTGATAAATTTATTGATTAAAAAATTGTAAATCAAATTTATTCATATTTATTCTTTATAAAAAATGTATATATAATATCAATTTTTTTATTTAATTTTTCATTTATTAATATATTTTTAGGAGCAATTTTTCACAAAGGCGAAGAATATCTTCAATCTGTATTCTCAAAAGCAATCTCTGACACAAAAAACGAAAACCATGAATCCGTATTTGAACTTGTAGCAGTTACTAAGTACATCGAAGGCCGTACCGACAGCTTTATGACTGCTATAGCTGGTAAGTACGTGAGTCCAATTATTTCGAATGACGATTATTCCATAATGTTGACGTGTATATTTTTTAATAATTACAAATCTATTTTCCTACGTAATCATCTTTATTCTAATCTCAAGAATAAAAATTAAAAAACTTTTTAAACTATTTTTATAATTATATATAATATACATATAAGGTAAGATGTTATCAAATTAACCTGTGAAAAATTGCAATCCTCAATCTTTGAAAAAATTAACCTTTTGTAGCATAGAAATGTGCAAACAAAAATTTAAAAGACGTATATATGTGCAAACGATAAGCAATTGAATGATGTATGTTAATTTTTTCAAAAGTTGGGAGCCAACTTCAGTATCAAATTAAGGTACTTTTATAAAAAGTATCTTAAAAAATTTATGAAAAAGAAACAAGAGATTTATTCTTTTTTAAGATTCTTTTTTATAGAAATACGTAAAATGGGAAAAAACAAATTTATGAAAAAGACTTTACGTTACATAATTATTCTAATTTTGAACATATTTATTGATTTACATATTCGACATTGTATTATTTTCTACATAGCTTGTAAACTTCTTGAGGAAGGTGTGGCAGCCATTTTCGGACCTTCAAGTCGGTATACTAGTGGCATAGTTGCGAGCATTGCTGCGAGATTTGATATTCCGCATATAGAGTACGTTTGGCGAGAAAGCGAAGGAAAGGAAAACCAGAAGAAGGCTTCATCAAATATATATGAATATAAACATATGACTATAAACATATTCCCTGCCAGTGAACAAGTCAGCCAGGTTAGTCGCAATTTAAAAGAATCATTTCGCAGCTAAATAGTAGATGTGTACATTATGATAACTTGGACATGTTTAACAGTGTAAGTAATAATTCAATTTATTTTTATGGTGATTGATCTGTGGATGCATATTTAGTTAATTAATCAAACCGAATAATTACCCAATAGAATCAAACATCTTTTCTAAGACGCAAGTTAAATCGATTTTATTGCACATTCGAAATACAATTATTATTTGTAATATATTTTTGATCTACAAAATTGTACAGGCTATCGCCGATGTCATTGATTCAATGAACTGGCAAAAATTCGCAGCGATTTACGAAACTGATGAAGGACTGTCACGTCTTCAGAAAACTTTGATCCTAAAAGGAGATAACAACGAACCGATTATACATACAGCATGGAAACTTGAAAAAGGATCGGATTATCGCTCGATGCTCAGAGAGATACGCTATTTGTCAGTGCGCAATATAATTATCGATGTTAAACCGGAAAATATTATGAAAGTGCTGTATCAGGCAAAGGAAGTTAGTTTATTAGAAGATTATTCCGACTTCATAATTACATATTTGGTACTATACATTATATGTTTCATTTCAACATGATACTTTCGAAAACATATTTCATGTATTTCAGGCCAAAAAGATTGATAATTAAAAAAATTATAAATTAAACCTTTAAAAATTACATTTAAGGAAAATTAGATAGATAAAGCATAATATTATATGTTCTTGTGCATATCCGATTGCTAGAAAACAAGTAGATTTTGAAATAATCATTCCATTAAATCCTAGGATTCATCCATTCTACCTATTAGCGACATACTAAGTGGTACCTTCAAGATCACTGGACTGAGCATAAGAGAGAACGATGACATAAAAGGAATTGATTCGGTATTTATTCAACATTCCCCTTTAATTATCAGCAATAAACATAATACAATATATTATAATATAATCTCAAAAGTTGATATTCTCTGATTGTATTTATACTATATGTACAATTCTTAAGTACTCGCGTTAAGCCAGATCTACATCAAGTAAATTAAGTGCGAACAATGATTCGCTCAAATGATTGCAAACAGTCAGTGCCACTTGATAATGAAAAATTATAACAAAAAAAGAGTATTACTTATTATAAATAAACATTCAATAAATAAACATTCACAAAGAATTAAAACATTTCTGCAATTTTTTGTTGCGCAAGCACTTAAGAAAAAAAAAGTATTTATTTATTCTAGCAGACAGATTAATATTTATTTAATGTTTTCACATTTCGGACTGAATTAGATGACACAGATATTTTATATTAAAAATTGAAAATAAAAAAATTACTTACTAAAAAATTACTTATTAATAAAATTAAATAACCACTTGAACTAATTTGCGATTTTGATATAGCTAGATTCAGCGGTCCTCTATGATGCAGTATTTTTGTTACATACAACATTAGAGACTCTAAATGCAAGAAATATTGAAAATGAAGTAGATATGTCCATTGATCCTATACCACTTTCTTGTACAAATAGTACTAGAAAGTATCAAGTAGGATCTAATATTACTAGCGTTATGCGAGAGGTAAGGAGGTCTTTCTTTATCATTTCTTATATAATAAAAAACTAGCAATTTGACTTTAAGTCTTAAGACATGTTATAAAAAAAGTAATTTAATTAATAACTTTCTTACATTTTTATATACACTTACATAAAAAAGTAAATTCTTCAAAGTTAATTTAATGCCACATTAAATCTGTTAAATATGTCTGACATAATAATGGTGCCAATGTTCACTACTTGAACACAACTGCATTCAAATAATGAATACTCGCAAAAAGATATTGAAAAATTAATATCAAATTTTCATTATTTACTTTTAATGCAAGAAAATAAATTTTTATTTTCAATGTACGAAATTTTTTCTCGCACACAGATATCAAAGAGAGGACAGATAACTGGCATTATGTACATTGATGAATATGGCCGTAGACGAGATTTTAATGTAAAAATCTTGAATTTTCGACAATCGAATAAGGATATACAAATATTGGGTTATTGGGATACATTTAAAGGTTTACATATTAGTCACATTAGGAAGAAGGAAGATATCTATTTATATAAAAGATTCATGGAAGAGAAGATATTCAAGATTAGTGTACGCGAAGTTCGTAGTACTATTTAACATATTAATTATAGATCTAGATACGTCTGCCTAGATGGTCCCTTCCCACTTAATCAAATTTTAATGAATAAATTATGTAATAAAGCGCTATTTATGCGCTTTCATATTCACACAGTTTCATTTTTGCTGCATCCCTTAAGGACTTCCCTCTTGGAGCAAACAGACATATTCATCTCTAATAATGCCCATTTTGACATATCAACGCAGGTGGAAAAAGACGAAGAATAAATTTTAAATTAAGATTAAATTTGATTTACTATGAACTACATTCGTGGAAACGAGCATAAATCGTTTAAATTGCAAAATTACGCTATTTTCTTTTAAAATTTACTCTGAAATATGGTAGTTGTAGTACAATAATCACAGAATTTTCTTTTAAAATTTACCCTGAAAATATGGTAATTGTGGTACAATACAATATTTTAAAGATTTTTACCATGCAAATTAAATAAAATTAATCGATTCTTATTTTATACTTATTGTAATTTTATTAATAAATGAAAGAGATTTACATTAAAATTCTTCGAAATATAGTATTGTTCCACGACTATCATATTCAGAATAAATTCTAAAAAAATTCTTTCCGTGTGCAAAACAGAAAGAAGTTAACAAACAGAACGAAAATATTACTAATCCTATTTATTATATTTACCGATCTTTGAGCTTTAGCTTCTCCAATCCTTTTACATTATTATCTCTGATTTTTTAAATAGAAATATTTATTTAGTATTCATAACGCATAAATCAAAATATATTTTGCACAGTTAAAGCACAGTTAAAGTATTTTCATAATTTTTAATGATTTAGATATGAATACTACTGTTTGCTTCAGAAGAGAAGTCCCTTAAGGATTGCAGTGCAAAAATCGAATTTGCTTGGAAGTGGTTGCGCCTATACTATAAATCGATGATGTATAGTTAGAGCGTAATTTTGCAATTTAAAATGACTCAGGGATAAATATGACTGTTTGATCCAAGAAGGAAATAATTAATGGATGCAAAAATTGAAAATATGGAAGCGCATAAATAGCGCATAAATCCTATTTGATTTTCCAAATCAATTGTTATTAACACAGAGGCTGACTGATAGCCTGTTCAGCTCCTCCCAAAAAAATTTTTTTTAACTAAACAATATAAGCGCAAAAATTTGTTTGCTGATTTTAAGAGCGCATAAATATCTCATTATTAAATAATTTATTCATTTAGTTAATTGGGGGGGGCCAGCTAGGCATAATTATAGCTCTGACATTAAAAGATTATATATTGTTAGCCATAAAATATTAGAAATATATCTTGTAAATTCATTTTGTAATTCATAAACTACAAGAGAGGATTTAAAATTATATTACATATACAATTTAAGAAAGATATTTAGTACATAATAAGTATAAATAATCAGTGAAAAATGTAAAAAAACCCATCAGAGTCTAGAGTTGTTCGGATACACAGAAAATTCTTTATTTTTGTGTGAATGTAACAAAACGAATAAAATAAACATTTCAATTCGGGTCCTTATCAATATAAAATATAAATCAAAAATATATAAGTAACGCAAATTGATGATTCCTGACAATTTAGTTCGTTCTTCTTTATCCAAATGCCAAATTATCTATGTAATCAATAGCCCAATGATCAAAAATATTAACTTATACATTGAGTATAGATAATAAGTATAAAAAAGAACAAAAACAATATCGTATTTAATAATATTACTTTAATGCTTCAATATATGATTTCTTTTAGTTGGTACAAAAATAGAAATGTCATATACTACTAACTATTAATGATATACGTAATAGCGAACAAGTCAATAAAGTTACACATAATTGTTCTATGAGTAACCTAGCTCTTCTTTTTATTTATTGTAGTCATATTTAACTAAGTATAAATTATATAAATATTTTTGGAGATATGAAAGATGCAATAACTTCCTCCGATTTAGAGCAAACCCTACGTTATGGAAGTGATCGATGGTTCAACGCGAGGAGTACTAATTGGTCAAAAACGCTATGAAGGTTATTGCATCGATCTGATTAATAAAATCGAAAAATTTCTACATTTCAAAGGAGTAGTGTTCGAAATTGTAGCTGATAATAAGCAGGGCAATTATGATCCACAAACAAAAACTTGGAATGGTCTAATCAGCAGCATTCTGAATCATGTAAGTAAAATGCTCTGCATTTTATAGAGGAAAAAATTATTTGTTAAATATCTAAAAATTTTGCTAAATACAAAATCTAAAAATAATTTCGTTAGGTTGTCAAAATAATTATAGAACGCTTAAGTTGATTTCTGGAATATTAAAACATTTCACAGCATTGATAGTTATGCTTGAGTTTACTACATATCTAATTATTTTGATGGTCCCGATAAAATTATTTTTAGATTTGCATCTAACTACATTTTTTAATATTTCAACAAAATTGTACCTTCCTTTTTTGCAGAAACTTTTGCTTAAAGAAAGAAAAATTTGTTCTTAATTTATTTCTCATTTTGGCGACAAATTAAAGTAAAAAAAATTTTTTTTATGAAAAGATAGAACAGAAACATATAAATCAATTGAGGTTGTTTTCATATTACAATTAAATTAATAATAGTATTTTTTTTTATGAAATAATCCACGTTTTATTTAAAATCCACGTTAATTATTTACCTTTATTTTACAAGATTTCCCTACTTACTGTAATAACAAACAATAGTTTGAGTTTGCACTACTTTTCAGTAATCTATTATTTATAATCTATTTCTTAAAAATTTCAGGAAGCCGATCTTGCTATATCCGATTTAATGATGACATCTCATCGCAAGACTGTTGTGGATTTCAGTGTACCTTTCATGTCCACAGGTAACGCAATATCCCTACGGAACCCAAAAATAAATTAACATTAAGATATTGTAAAAATAAGTAAATAAATAAATAGTTAAATTTTAGACTAACGTATATTAATGGCAGTATTCCAATTTTGTTTTAAATTAGGTACCAGCATTGTATTTAGCAAACCGGAGAAGCAAACGTCACCTTTTTTCCCAGTCTTAGTGCCTTTCTCTAAAGAAGTATGGCTCTATATGGCTATTGCTAGCTTCCTCGTATCGATAATGTTATTTCTTCAGGCAAGGTAAGATTTTTAGAAACAAAATACTTCATAATTTGGAATGTAATAAAAATGTAACAAAAATTATCCTTTTCAAATAGAGGAAGGCCAATACCGACTACTTTGTTTTTAGATAATATTTCTTAAAAATTAAAAATAAAACTTAAAAAATATAAGTAAACTAAAAAATGTCTCCTATCAAATAATAATAAGTAGTTTTTATAATAGTTTGCTATTTTGCAATAATTATTTTTTTCGTAAGATAAGCAAAAATGAACATCTGACAAAATGGATTCCAAAACTGACCAAACATTAAGCAATAATGTTATGTATTCCAATTCTTTTTCTTTTACAGAAGTTATCTGTAAACAGTATCCATAAGTGAATGTATATAAGATTTCCCGGGTTCACAAGTCGATTTGAAGTCGATTGATCTTTAAGATCGATTGATTTCGATACTAGATTTTTTGTTGATATTCAAAACAGCTAAATAGATCATAATTTTATTAGTATTAATAAATGCAATAGTTAATTTCTGAGAAACAAGGGAGTGCCATTTTAGGAAACTTATGTCAGTATCGGCAACTTTTCTCTACTAAAATTAGTAAAGTGAAGATAACCGTTAAAAAATGTGTCTTGTATTTCAAAAATTTAAATTCTTTCTAAAGAATGACATCTAAATGGAAAAATCCGCATCATCTACGCAATGCTGATTCCGAAGAAAATAATTTTAACTTAAAAAATTCGTTTTACTTTACTATTTCTTCTTTTATGCAAGGAGGTTCAAACATACTGCTCAAGTAAGTTCTAATATGATATCATTACATTATAATTAATAAACATATAAACGTACATTATAAATATATTGTAAATATTGAAGAAATTATTTTTTTAACCAAAAGTTAAACTAATAATAATATTTTCTAACATAAATAAAATCACTTTCATTGTAGAACATCATCTATGCGCATGCTTGCGAGCATATGGTGGTTATTTACTTTGATCATGTACAGCTTCTACACAGCGTATCTCACAGCAGTCTTTCTTACTGCAGACAAAATAGGCATACCTATTAAAGGAATTGAGGACCTGGCCAGACAGACAAAAATTAAATATGGTGCACTAGAGGGTGGCGAAACAGCAACATTCTTCAAAGTACATTAGCAGCTTATTTATGATCATATTTAGTTCAATATGAAAATAACTTACATATATGATTCGATATTATCCAATTATAGAATTCGAATCACTCAACGTACAAACAAATGTGGGCTGTAATGGTGAATTCTAGGCCAAGCGTATTTGCATCAAGTTATGAAGAAGGTGCACATTTCCAAAATTAAATCACCTATGTGAAAAATCTTTCTTTAAAAAGGATTCGAGACATTATTCGAAAAAACAAATTTTTTTCTTTTGAATTCTCAAATATATTAATTTTCTGTAATATGTTTCAGGAATCGACCGAGTTATCAAGAGCAAACGACGATATGCCTTTCTTATGGAAAGTGGCGCTATTGAATATTATACGGCGCGGAAATGCGATATAATTAAAATAGGCAACGTGATCGGAAATAGAGGCTATGCCATTGTTATGCCACGCAGTAATATTATATAACTTCACTGCAATACCAATATTTTTCCATTTCTTTATCTTTATATAAATCATTTCTCTTCTGCATCTCTTCTGCAGATTCTCCATACAGAATATATATTGATCATGCGATCTTAACGCTTATCGAGAATGGTGTAATGGAGGATCTCAAAAAAAAGTGGTGGCAAGAAAGAGGTTTGTGCAATCAAGATGAAATTAAAGTAGACGAATTAGGGATGACAGGTCTCGGAGGTGTATTCTTCGTTCTAATATGTGGTTGTAGCGCTTCATTCTTTATCGTAATTTGCGAATTTCTATGGAATGTACATAAAGTTGCTGAGACAGAAAAGGTAATCTCCATTTTATCGTGTTCATTCAGGAAATTGTTAATTTAGAGATAAATATTGTAAATAAAGTAAATTAATTTTGTTTCTTTTAACGAAGAAAAGGAAAGCTCTCAAAAACTTAATATTCAATATAAGATTTCTTTCTTTTTATCTAAATTAAATTATTTCACAATTTAATTTAGATGAAAAGAAAGAAATTAAATTGTGAAATAAATGCACAATACGAGAATTTTAACTATATGTATTAACCTTAAATTTAATAAGTTAATTACTATATCGCCATTATTACGATATATTATAAAGAGAAATAATTATCATCTTTTATACAGATCACACTGTGGAAAGTGCTAGTTGCCGAGTTGAAATTTACCGTGAATATCTTCGCAATTAGGAAACCAGTTAAAATTATCAAGAGGAGCAACAGTAACATAAGTTCCAAAGAGGATGGACTTGACAGAGCTGCATCTACGGCTTGATCTATCATTGCTTCTTTTTCATAAATTGATTATATTTGATAAATTCGATAAAAACCATAACAGAAACAAATGTGTACGATCATATAAAAACTATAACAGAAACAAATGTACGAAATTAATTAATTATTACCAAAAGCATTTAAGTTTAACCACAAATTATTTTAAATAATATAAAGACACCTACATTGAAAGCACTAATTTAGCATTAAATAAATATGCATACATATATAAATAGATGTATATATAGATGTTTGTTTGTAAACACTAAGCTAAACGACTGTGTGTCAATCATCTCTGTGTATACCTCTCTTCTGTAATATTATTTTAAAATATTAACCATCTTGTACAATAGTTAATATAAGCGTAGTTCGCTAACAAGTAAAAATCAGATTTGCTTCATCAACTGGAGATATTTAGACTTCAATCAAGTTGGTCAAGAAATCCTTATAGCATGCTAAAAGCATGCATGCTTAAGATTTAACAAAAATAATTTTATAATATTAATTTTCATTTCTATAAGTAAAGCACGACACAGATTAAAAGTATTCTGTATTGTTAGAATGTATTCAAATAAAATTTTTTTTTAATATTGCAGGTAAAGAGCACTTGATATATTTTAGAGTTCCTGTATTGTAAGAATTAATCTAAATGAAAATAAAACTTGATAAATAAAATAACGATAATTATTTAGAATAAAACCTCCCACCCCATCCCAAATCTTAATAAAAATATACTTATTTGACGTGTTTTCACTAAAAACGAAAGAATCTGGCAAAAAAAATGCGGCGGTCGGCTTAATCGAGTTTTTAAGAATTAAAATTGGAGACTTTATACTCCAAAATCTCCAACTGTAATTCTTAAAAACTCGATTCACGAGAGCGTTTTTTGCCAGATTCTTTCGTTTTGAGTGAAAACACGTCGTGCATAAATGCATTTTTATTAAGATTTGAGGTAGGAAGGGGGGAGGGGGAGATATTCTAAATAATTATCAAATAAGTTTGAAAATGACAATATAATCGAGGTACATAAGATTTTGAGATTTGCCTAATAGTATTTTTAAATGTAAATTCTAAATGCATCTTTCATTTATGTAAACTGCGTGTAGTTTAAAGTTGTCGGACTTAAAATTATAAACTGAAACTAAAACAATAATATCACAACTGCGTGGATTGGATAATGATGCTGCTGATATCATCAATTGTTATCCATTTAACAACTGTTAAAACTTAAAAAAGTTAAAAAAACGAAGAATTAACATATGTCATTCAAAGAGAAAAAAGCAGGAATTATCTACGTACGATAAAAAAAATCTGAAATCAATATGTCTTATACATTTTTAGCTCTCTTACGTCAATTATTTAGAATATTGCAATATACGAAGCTTGATGTACAAATGCACACGCATATTTGACATCCCGTTGTATTATATCATTTATATCATAATTAACACGCAATATATTTCGAATAAATTCGTCCTTGCGTTTTACATATTATTTATTAAAATGGATCCACTACAATGTTTGTTTTCGGTTATACTACTTTTATTAGTGACAACGTATCGTACCTTTGGTCAGATGCGACCAATAAAAATCGGTAAGGACTGATCCTTTTTTACAAAATTAATAAATTCTAGAAAACATATAGTTCATGATATGAAAAAATTTTATGTTCAAAAGAATCATTTAACGAAAAAATTAGCAAAGACTGAAATCTCTACGATAATCTATTCTACTGATACGTAAATGTAAAAAGTATTTTAAACCAAATCAATATTTGCGAAGACCCACTTCTTCCAACTACATTGTGAAAAATTGTTTATAACAAATATTCAAATAAACAAATAATAATATTTTCACAATATTATACAATTTTAAGTTATATAATATTATTCTCCAAATTTTTATTTTCACTTGAATAAAAAAACCATTAATTACATTAACTTCAAACAAAGATATATTAATTTAAAGTGCGATAGACTTGTAATTACCAGTTCAGACAAGTTCATAACGAATATCAATTAGGATTAATATTCCATTTGGCGACTGTAACATACACATTAAATTTAAATAAAAACCGATGTATAAATTATTAATTATTTTCCTTTTTATGCGTCATTACGTCATTAAAAAACACTAGATAACAATGTTATATCGATTTAAAATTAAAACAAAAAAAAGCAGCTTCACCATAAAAAAATATATCAATAAAAAAAAAAGTAAAACATATTTATAATAAAATAACTTTTATTTAAAATTCATTAGTAATGAATTTTGCGTGATAATATTAGTATATATTCACAAATCATGCAAGAAAAATATTTTTAACAATGTTCACATGCGCTTGATACTTAATATTGATCTATTATTCGCCAACAAGCAAATATCGGATTTGGTTCATCAATTGTAGATATTTAGACTTCAATAGATCAAGAGATCCTTATTAAAAATGCTTAAGATTTAACAAAAATAATTACATTAATTTTTATTTCTATAAATAAAGCGTGACACAAATTGAAAGTATTCTGTATTGTTAATATGTATTTAAATAAAATTTTTTTAGTATGAAGCGATGGTTAAATAATGTTCTGATTTATTAACCTTGAATAATTATTGGTTTAGAAAATATGTCTTAATTTATACTATCATATGTGAATAATAATAACGACAAAAAAGATTAATCTATTTCGGTATATGTAATGCAAGGAAAAACTTCATATTACTCGCTTTGACATTATAATCCAATATAATCGCGATAAAGCATTAACTACTTAAGTTTTTTATATGTTATAAATAATTAGTAATTTTTATAGCCTTTATTAATTTACTACTTCATTTGTTCATTAATTTTTTGCTACATGATTAAAAATATATTCTTTCTAATTTTATTTTGAAAATAAGAGATATTTTAATCACAAACTGGCAAATTTGCAATAAAGAGAATTAGTTCAAATAATAAAAACGGAAAAACTAAAGGTAGATTGTTTGTATTTATTATAATTTAAACTTGATTCTCTCGATATTTGTTAGATTACAACAAAAAATATCCTTACTAATTTATTTAATTAAATGAACAACATATGAATTTATAATTTTAATAACGCACTTATTTGAATATATTTTTTAAACATAGAAGTATAAATATAAAATATCGTTACTGGAAGAATGTCTGCGACGTAGTCAACAGACACGGTTCTCAAAACGAACAACGCGAAGCCAAGCGTACATAAGATGTGGTTCAGATCCAAATTTAGATCAGTGTATAGTAGGATAACATCGAAGTCGAAACTTCGCGAATACAGTTTCCTGATTCATTGGTTTTTCCCTCTTCTATTTCGTTGAAATTTCGAACAGTTTCTATCAAAAGTTCTTTGGTTTAGATAAAGATCTTAATCGATTCCAAAAAAATATTGAATTCAAACACCGAAGAAGATTGACGCGCGAACATTAAGGTAAAACTAATAAAATTATTAGTATATACATATAAAATAGTATAGTTCTACTGATATAAAAATTGATGTAACTCGATTGATCTCAAAATAGTTTAAACCGTTAAAATTTATAATCATAAAGAACTTTAATTAGAAATTATGATTATTCATATATTCTCTAAATAGCTTAGAAAGTGCTCGAAAAGTAAAATTATTAAATGATAACAAATATTTTATTTAAGAAAAAAAATTGAATCCTAATTAAAATCTATATTTGATATATATACATTTTATTATGTATTATTAATATCGATAAAATGTAATATTATGCATATAGAAAAGGAGAAATTTATTAATAATTACTCAAGTTATTCATATCTTGTAAATAAATTCACTATTATGTTTTACAGATTTTTTACTAAATTTTTTACTAAAATGGACTCACGACAGTTGTTTCCGATCACATTAATTTTATTAGTATTGGCAACGTGCATTCATGGTCTGATGCGACAAATAAAAATCGGTAAGCAGTGATCATTCTAGAAAACTTTAGAAAGTATACCGCTTATGTATGGAAGTTTCGCAGATAAAAAAAAAATCATTTATCGATAGACAAACACTAAAACCTCTATGATAATCTACTTTACAGTAATTTAACATAATATTCTATTTGACGACTATATATATATGTTTAAATTAAATAATAATCGACTCCATAAATTATTTATTGATTTCTTCTTTTTTATGATAAATCATTATTAAAAGAATGCTATAACACATGGATTCATAATCAAAATAAAATAAAAAAAGATATATTTATTATAACGTAAAAAATTTTCTTAATATGATAGAAATAAAAATATATTTATCAATTTTAGAGTCAAATATATTTATAAGTTTAAAATTAAAATTCAGTAATGATAAATTTTGCTCGTGATAATACCAATGTTGCTTATTATTTAATAATATTGATCCGACACGCATAACATAAATTGTGAATTTGTGCATCACCAATTAGTATTTAGCGATTCAAGTAAATATATTATAGATATATAATAATTATTTGGAGGTATAATTAGAAAATTAATTAATCTTTTGTATATTAATCTTTTTACTTCAGTTAATCATTACGATTACGTGCTAAATTTTATTATATAATTAATATATTTATTCTTTTGGAAAAAATATTATAATAATTTATTTGAAAAGCACTTCATTTTTATTTTTAAAATTTCTTATGTTAAAGCTTTTCTGATGTCTGTTATACAATATATAATCATGTATATATTCCTCAATCTTTGTACTATATTTCACACATTAACATTAATTAATCTAACAACGTTGGACTTTTTATAAATTTTTTAATTATTAATAATTATATATATTTTTTAGGAGCAATCTTTCACAAAGGCGAAGAAGATCTTCAATCTGTATTCTTAAGAGCAATCTCTGACACAAAAAATGAAAATTTTGCACCCGCATTCGAACTTATTCCCATCACTGAGTACATCGATGCTAATACTGATAGTTTTAATACTGGTGTAGCTGGTAAGTACGCGATGAAATCGATTATTCCGATGACAATCATTCCATAATATTAACAAGTTTGTTTTCTAATAATTATAAATATGCATTTTTTCATAATGTATTTATTCTAATTCAATCCCAAGATTCGGATAGAAAATTAAAAATGTTTAGAATAGTTTTATAGTTATACATATATAATCATACACCGTTGTGTGTGTGTGTGTGTGTGTGTGTGTGTGTGTGTGTGTGTAAAATGTTATCAAATAATCGCATTCAATAAAAGCATGATAATAATTTAAAATGAGAAAAATTATTTTGTTACGATTACAAAAATTCATGTGTAAATTAAAAAATAAAACGAATTTACAAAGAAGGCTATATTGCATCTTTATTCTATAATAATTTTATAGACCAATTTTACATATTGTTAATTTATTATATAC